ATATGTAGAAAATGTTACATTTACGTCACATCATGGATCAGTCAGCAGCAGCATCTGATCAATATGTGATCCATGATGTCATGTAAATGTAACATTTTCTACATATAGGTCAAATTAATTCAGATACAAAACTTTAAATTCAGTTTCAATTTAGTAAAATTTATTTTCAAACCAATGCGTGCAGTTTCAGATTATACACATTTAGATTCACTTCCTGTTGGCACTAAATTGATCCCATAAATCGAAGCCTTGTTTGTGTTTTCTGAATTTGCTCAGAGACGTTTGGCGACAAACGCCCTCGACTGTTGCGTCTTGCTCCCTCCTCTTCCTGGCCCCGCCCCCTCCCCTTCTTCCTTCCCGCCTCCGACCCCCACCAGCGCCTGCGTCGAGTCACACGACTGTTTCTCCACGTCGTCGTCGTCCGTAGAACCCAGCTGCCGTCCTTCGGCCGCTCGTCTTCGTCGTGGCGTCAGAGGCCCCGCCTCCACGCAGGTGCACCTGCTGAGCGCCAGCAGCTCCTCCCTGGCGAGCGGGCTGAAGAGCAGGTAGAGCAGCGGGTTGACGCAGGCGGGGAGCGGCGCCACCARCAGCAGCACCCCCTTCGCCGCCTCCGGCCCAGCGACGTGCAGCCTCAGCAGGGAGGAGAAGGAGAGGAAGGCCACGGGGAGGAAGAGGAGGCAGTCGGCAAAGAGCAGCCAGGTGACGTGACGGGTCAGCGCTGCCTCCTCTTCTGAAGGGGGCGGAGCTTTGTTGGCACGGCAGTAAAGGTGAATGTAGGCGAGCGTCATGGCGAGGAAACAGAGTGAGTCGAAGAGCACCAGGGAGACGGAGAAAGCCCCTGAGGAAGAGGAGGAGGAGGAAGGCAGGGGTAAACAGAAGGAGGTGCTGCCGCGCCCGTCCATCAGCGGCGGCAGCGTGACGGCGCCGCCGAGCAGGAAGCACAGACCGACGGACAGACGGAGGACGAGCGGCGAGGAGGAGCGACCTGCAGAGAAACCGAAGTTAAAGACGAAGGATTTTATTTTTCACGTTTTTCTTCGGCTGACGTTTCCTCACCGTTTCTGCCGTCGTTCTTATTGCTTCTCGCCGCGCCGTTGGCTGCCAGGCATCGCTCCAACGCCGCCAGCGTCAGCAGGAAGAGTCCCGTCTGAGACGCAAACACGCACAGGAAGCCGCTGAGGCGACACAGGAAGCTGCTCTCCCACCTCGCCACGAACCTGCAGCACAAACACCTTAAATCAGCCGAAGCTCAAACCTTCGGCTCGTCTCTGGCTCTGCCGTCGAACCTCCAGAAGCTGCCGAAGGTCCAGGCATCCAGCGCCGCCAGCCAGCCGCCCCACACTCCCGTCAGGCCGTTCACCACAGCCAGCAGGCCAATCAGCAGCTTGGGGGGCGTGGCCGAGCTGGCCGGAGAGAAGAAGACGATCAGGATGACCAGGCTGTTGCCGACCAATGAGACGGCCGCCATGAGCCACACCCCGCCTCGGATCATCCAGCTGCCGAGGAGACGCAGGCAGGGATGGAACGGCCCTGCAGGGACCCCAAACCATCACTTTGACAACACAAAATCTCTGCAACTTCAAGTTTTACATGAGCAAAAACAAAAAACTAAGTAAAAAGCATTAAAGGGATCTATGATTAGTTGTAACGTTAGACTTTATTTGATAAAAATTTATTTTAACTGTAAAATAA